TGGCGGATTTTAGATACCTAGGAAGTCAGATAAGTCAGGAGGGAAAAAATCAATAAGTTTGAAAAATATTAGTAGTTATTTATTAAGATTTATATGAAACATTTTAACATTTAATTTGACATTAAGATTTCTTGTCATTGGTTCATTAAAGTCACTATAATTTTCGTCCCATTCATATACCAAAACGCACAAGAAAAAAAAGTGCAAGAAAAATAGTCCATCCAAAAGCGTAAAATCTTCTAGCGTGGTTTGTATTATCTATTAACTTTTATATGCTAAAAAACAATTTAGTAACAACCGCAAAATTACAGTGACTTTAATGATAATTTTCTTTGCAGTGGCAAGAAATCTTACTACATACATATTTATTGATTTATTTTAAGCATTTTTCGGTGTAATTGTGGCAGATATTTTTTTAATTTTACACATGCTGGTAATAGTTCTTCCAAAAGCACTTAAAATTAGAAAGCACTAAATTATAGCGCACTTACTTTTGAAAACGAATTCGTTTACTAAGAAATTTTGGTGTGAGCGTAGGGAATGAAACACTAAAATGTAAATCAGGGCATTAAATTACCACTAAAAAATCAGTAAATTCTCATGTCAATCGTTTAGCAACTTTGTGATGCAGGTGTGCTAACTTAAGAGACATAGTTGAACTTCTAATATGATTGTTTTACATTTATTTCAAACTCCTTAACTTGAATTTCTCTAATTCAAGAATTGAGTACAGTAAAAGCTCTTTATTCGCGGGGTATACGTTCCATAGTCCACGCGGCACGATCCAACAGTACTCAAAATATGCCGATACGTTGAAAAATAACACCGAATCCTTTTCTGTTTAATCGGTTAGATCTTTTATAAAAGCCAACAGTACATACTCATAAGATGCCGGACGATACATTAAGGGGATTCAGTAGTACACGCGTCGTAAAGTAAAAACATGCTTATCGGCTCTAGATAGAAAAGAAGTTCGAAAATTTGTAGTAAGATAGATAAAGCTTTGTTCTAAAGCCTGTAGAAGGCTATTTTTTAATTTTTTAATTTCTGGCGAAATTATGTGTTCTACAAAAAGCATCAACTTTAAGCACTTGTAAAAGCTTTTAATGACTATATAATTGAAAACCAAAAACGTACCGAGTTAGTGTGAACCTTTGTCTGTTACTATACAAAAAATCACATATTTATCGCGCAGCGTTAAATCATAATGTTTATAATAGAAACCTATGTTTTCGGAAAAATTCACACTAGGCGCGAGCGGTCTATTGCGGCGAATCCCCTTAATAAATAACACCGAATATTTTTTTGTTTGCCGATTGTATGCGCGAATTTTAGCCACGAATACAGGAACTGCGTTGCAATTTTTTCACCCGCGAATAATGAAAACGCGAATAAGGAAACCGTGAATAAGGAACTTTTACTGTATAAATTTTATTTGGAAAAGTTAGCCGCAGCGATTATCAGCAACGGCTGCGTCCTTATTCGAAAGGATACCGATCTAAGTTTTTCTGTGTAGTATATGTCTTGTTTAACCTTTCCGCCCTACTCCCCAGCTTTGCGCTAGAGGCTAGAGTGTAGGTCGAAGGTACTGTACCCTGTCCGCCCATTAGCATTATAGTAGCAGATGAAAATGAAAAATATCACCGTAGGTATGCCCACCTAGAGAGAGAGACTTCTTACTTTTTAAAAACATGAGCCCATACTCCTCATCGGCCTTATACTATTAGTCGTTACTGGACTAATGGTCATAAAAGTATGTTTCATATTGTATTATTAGTGACTGATGTATGTATTGTTTGCGTGTATGCGTAGCTGTGTGTCTACTTGTGCGTTAAACGTATGCAGACACATAATACATACCTATAAGAAAGCAATGTCTTAATTATCAGCTGTCAAGCAGTTGCACATTTGCAATGCTAATGTTCTCTTTCTCTCTCTCTGTTTTTTTCTGTGTGTATGTGTGTGTGTGTGCCCATGGAGAACCGGCCCAAATGCGGAGGCGTTGATAAATGAAGTTCGACTGTCGGTTAAGATAGCGCCACCACAGCTCTAGATATTTCACAGTCCATATACCCATGTCTCTCTGCAGCACTTATGGAATTTATATTCGATATTCGATACAGTAATTGTATAGATACTATGAGTGAACATATGAAAAACTAATTATTATGAAATTACATTTTCAGTAGGGGATTCTGGGGAGGGTTGATTACCCACTCTGATTTTAGATTCTGTTTTTTTTTATTTTTTGAAGTATTGGAAAAACTTTCAAGCCAAACGATTTAGAAATTGTCATGAGAGTTTGAATAAGAAGTAGATTGTGTCACAATATAACTCGTTACTTGTTTACCCCTGATTGGAAGCTTTGATCCCAGAGGGATTAAGTCTCCCAGGTGCGTGGGAGACGTAGTACCTATTCAATAGATATTTTGGTTTTGCAAATTTCAATAGTTTTTAAGTGCTTTTTTGGGTTTTACATCTCCAAAGGGTTTTACATCTCCAAATAGTATTGATCTTTTCGGTTTCATTTTGTGAGCTTCGAAGTTTAAGTCCGCCCAGACAGGATCCAATTAATGCTTTGGCTTTGTAAGCTTCAGTAGACACATCTTTTTAAGTGCTTTTTTGGGTTTTTGCATCTCTAAAACAAATTGATCATTCCGGTTTCATTTTGTGTTCATTTCGTGAGCTTTCCAGCTAAATTCTTCTGGGCAGTATCTACTGAATGTTCTGGTTTTGTAAGTTCCAGTAGGTATAGTTTTAAGTGCTTATTTGGGATTTACACCTTTAAAGAGTATTGATTTCTTCGGTTTCATTTTCTGCTCATTTTGTGAGATTTGCAGTTTAAGTCCGCCCAGAAGAAGTGGACCGCAAACATTCCAGTTCAATTCATCTGGACAGTATCAAATTAATGTTCACGCTTTGTAAGCTTCAGTAGTCATTTTAACTAATTTTTTGGGTTATGCATTTGTAAGATAAATTGGTCATTCCGGTTTCATTACGTGAGCTTTGTAGTTCAGTTCTTCTGGACAGTATCTAATGAATGTTCTGGTTTTGCAAGTTCCAGTAGGTACATTTTTAAGTGCTTTTTTGGGGTTTACATCACTAAAGAGTATTGATCTTTTCAGTTTCATTTTGTACTCATTTTGTGAGCTGAGTAGGTCCGCCCAGAAGAAGTCAACCGCAAACTTTGCAGTTAAATTCATCTAGGTAATATCAAATTAATGCTCTGGCTGGGTAAGCTTCAGTAGACATAGTGTTTATAAGTGCTTTTTTGGGTTTTGCATTTCTGAAACAACCGATCATTCCGGTTTCATATTGTGCTCATTTTGTGAGCTTTGCAGCTCAGTTCTTCTGGGTAGTATCTAACGAATGTTCTGGTTTTGCAAGTTTCAGTAAGTTTTAAATGCTTTCTTGGGTTTTGCATCTCTAAAGAGTATTGATCTTTTCAATTTCATTTAGTGTTCATTTTGTGAGCTTTGATGTTTAAGTCCACTCAGAAGAAATGAGCCGCAAACTTTGTAGTTCAGTTCATGTGGACAGTATCCAATTAATGCCCTGGCTCTGTAAGCTTCAGTAGACATAGTGTTTATAAGTGCTTTTTTGGGTTTTGCATTTCTGAAACAACCGATCATTCCGGTTTCATATTGTGCTCATTTTGTGAGCTTTGCAGCTCAGTTCTTCTGGGTAGTATCTAACGAATGTTCTGGTTTTGCAAGTTTCAGTAAGTTTTAAATGCTTTCTTGGGTTTTGCATCTCTAAAGAGTATTGATCTTTTCAATTTTAATTAGTGTTCATTTTGTGAGCTTTGATGTTTAAGTCCACTCAGAAGAAATGAACCGCAAACTTTGTAGTTCAGTTCATGTTGACAGTATCCAATTAATGCCCTGGCTCTGTAAGCTTCAGTAGACATAGGTTTTATAAGTGCTTTTTTTTGGTTTTGCATTTCTAAAGGAAATTGATCATTCCGGTTTCATTTAGTGCTCATTTCGTGAGCTTTGCAGCTAAATTCTTCTGGGCAGTATCTAATGAATGTTCTGGTTTTGCAAGTTTTACTAGGTACAGTTTTAAGTACTTTTTTGGGGTTTACATCTCTAAAGAGTATTGATATTTTCGGTTTCATTTTGTGAGCTTTGAAGTTTAAGTCCGCCCAGAAGAAATGAACCATAAACTTCGTAGTTCAATCCATCTGGACTGTATCCAACTAATGCTTTGGCTTTGTAAGCTTCGGTAGACATAGTGTTTATAAGTTTTTTTTGGGTTTTGCAAAAAAAAAAATATGAAAACGATATCATCAGTCATGAAATCTGCTTCTCTTTTCATGTCTTTGTAATGTTCAATCTTCCAATGTCTGTCTGTTAACGTACGAAGACAAAATCAGGGGAAATCTTTTACTTCCCAAAATTCTTAGTTAAAATGAGATGAGAATGCCAGTGATGTCCTCGATGATCCTGGCAAATACCCACCGTTTTTTCCAAAGAATTTCAGCAATGTTTTGGATGTTTCTATTTTCATTACAATAAGGAATTGTTATCGTTGGATGTTTGGATTTTGATGTGGATCTTCTTTAGTACCATAAACAGTTTTAATCAATTCCTAAGTTTCAGTGATAGTGTTTCCTAGCTTCAAAGAAAATTTAATGTTAGGCCGTTGTTCCTTTATCGATTTTTTGACGGACACTGAAATTTATCATTGCAAACAAATCAACAGTGGTAATGCCTTAAAAATTGAAAATTTTGGGTTTGATTCAAAGATGATGTTGGTTGTGTCCAATTCCAATTGGACACACCTTGTAAGTTGGAACAGTAAAGTTAAAAAAAAAACTAAAAACTCAACAATATAAGTACTCCCAACTTAGTTAAGAAATGACCGACCCCTAGACCAGTTACCAGTTCCTTTTGGAAATTTGAGTGTTTGGACTACGAGACGATACGGGTGTTGTAACATTCTTTGGTTCATCAACGTTGTTATGATGGCTAGACCGATTCAAAAACATTTTTAAGCGTTATTGTATGCCGGAACTTTATCGTCTGCAAGTTATTTTCATTACTGGGCCGATAAAGCGGCAATCAAGTTAAGAACGAATGCATGTTTAAATATAGTGCGATAAGTTAAGTTTTGTATAGCGATAAGCTTTTATTTATACAAAGTTCACACGAAAACACTGGTGTCCGGAGGCTAATACAAACAACAAAATTCAACACAATAACAACAATAATATTCCACAATACAGTTTGGTAGCCGATCGTCGTTTTATTGCGCGCGCGTCTTTTTGTTTCCACCACTGCAATCAACAACTTACCATTGGACTAAGCCGCGGCCGACTCGCGGGGCCGACAACAGTCTCACGCTGCTTGTTGTGGGTGTACGGCTGCAGTTGTCGATTTTGTCGAAATCACGTGTACAATATTTACGCACCTGTCAACATGACATGGGTCCGCATTCATATTAACATTTGCAAAAAGTAACCGCTCTCGTTCATTTTTTTTTTTGCTGTTCACATTTCAACGACTGTCTCGTTTCTTCCTTCTTGTTTGTGCGTCACAGTGTTGTCCAGTTGTGCATTTTTTTTTGTGTTTGTTTTGTCATGTAAAAAAGAAAACTTGTGTCGTTTAGCTTTGGTAGAGAGGTGTTGTCCAATAAATAAAACTGGAGCCGAACTATGTCCCGGCGGAAGCAAAGTAATCCAAAGCCTTTAAAAAGTGAGTAAGCTTTTGCTCGAACTGTGCTTGTATGTTCATGTGTTCGGCTACTGGAGCTTTTGCTGTGTTGCTTGTTTTCACCGAATATTTTCCGATCAAATAGGAGCGCTTAAAGTTTATGATGACATGCCACTGTGCTCAATGTAACTGATGCGATGAACTAAAAGTTTTTAACCTTTTTCTGAGTTTTACAACTTTTTTTTTTACGATTGAGAAATAGCGAAAAGGTAAAAATGTGTAAAGATAGATGGTGTTCACGGTACACACGTATATATTTTAAATATATACCACACATTTTAGAAAGCCGTCGTTGAAAGGTTTTAACTTAAAATGCAAAGCGCTATCAGAAATCGCCTGATGCGTAGGTATTTTTATCATCTTATGTATGCCTGGCTTTTAGATTTATCGTATTTTTGTCTTTATGTTGTTTATTCCGGGAGATATTAATGGTGCTTTTGACTTTGTCGTTACGATAAGACTTTTCATAAGATAACCAACCGTACAATCTCTGGGCTCAAATGGTGCTTCGTAGAAATATGTGCGTCTATAATGAATTCATGCTGCTGCTGCGGCTCAATCTTTCAGGCTTATACCTACTTTACTTATTACATTAGATACATATGTATGTGTATCGACCAATTTTAATAAATACTCCCACGTACATCTATACACTAGTGGCTAGTCGATAACCGAGTGTATTATATTGTAATGTTCGTGGGTTTAACAAATTAAATTTTAAGAAGAAAACTATTTATTTCACTAATTACTATTAAACTTAAAAACACCATTAAATTATTACTAAACGTCGGTAATTATTCTATTTATTTACACTACTGTTACTATTCACTGTTCTATTTATTACACTTCTATCACTGTCAATTTATCTCTTGATTCACTTCTGCAACGGTCAATTTATTTCTACTCTCTTCGGCGATCGTCTCTTCCTTTTTATACGCCCTTGCCTCCTTTCGGGAACATTCTCCAGCCGTCCAGAAAAGTCTCGTTTTCTTTGAACTGTTTAATTGCTTTCCCGGTACGCAGGTACGACACACACGTTTACAGATACGGCGCACATGAAGAAAGGCGCCCGCGGCTAGTCGGCGAATCGATAAGCCGCTCACACACACGTATGTCCGATCGCACACAATCACGCTCGTGGTCGCTACAATATATTATGTTACAATCATTAAAGTGGTATAGAAAAGTTACAATAACGTAGTATAAGTGAGGCTTTTGGGGGTTGTTACGCTTTCTTCAGATGATTTTGAGGGTTCGGTTAGTTGAGGACAGTTTTCAGAGAGACGTGGTGATGGAAAAAAATACCTACAAAGAAATGTGTAGTTTCTGTGTTGGGTGAATGTTTTGCCTTACCTGTATATTCGTATACACTGGCGGCGAAAAGAGAGCCGAGCATAGGGATGTTATGCTAGATGCAATCTTCAAAGGGCGGTATCATCATTTGAAAAAGGGACAAGGAAATTCGTACAAATATCTTCAGAAATCTTTTCATGTAAATAATAAAGAAATAGAAAATCTAAGTCCAGTTTAAAGCGTTTGTTTAGGACAGTTTTAGACATTTTCATCATCATAAGGCCGTCAGTCCTAAGACTGGTTGGACACGCATCTCTACACATTCCTATCCTTGCTTTTCTCTAAAACCAGAGCATCACATATCCTTAACTATTTGTAAACTGTAATTTAATCTAGGTCTACCTCTGTCTTTATTATCTCCTGTTTCTGCTTTCAATATGTCTCTGACTAGCCCTTCATGCCTGTCGCCTATTTCTTATAGACTTCCATAGCGCCCTGTCCTCTACTATTCCTTCTAATATTTACTTATTTCTAATCTTCCCTATCCACGTTTCGTAACCGTACAGAGCCGTGCGACTTAATAATTCTGACAAAGAAATGTGTAATTTTTATGTTCGGTGAATTTTTCCCCTACCTGTATATGTATTTAGATATGCATCATTAAAATGAAATAATTTATTTCGATAGAATTGCCTCCAGGTTATGGCTATGGACCCCTGTAATCACCTGATTAATTTAGTTTTACGAATCTTAATTAATGATGAGATTTCTAGACCAGGTATCTAATAAGTATACATTGCGATAAAGTAATAAATTACTCCAAATAGTTATGGATGTTTATTTTTTGGTAAACATACTTAGGTAACATGAAATACCGCATTTAGGAATTAAGCAAGTTCTAAAAAACAGGAAAATGTGATATTAGACGATTTTTTTTAATCTGTTGTGGGTTGAATGGGGTGGGCAATATATATTTTCCTCATAATAAATATCTATTTAAAAAAGGGGTAGTTACCGAATTGCTTCTTAAATTTTCACCTTCACCTAGTTAGATACCATTATAAACCCTTTAAAGTATCAAAAAGAACCTTTCGATATATTAGGGTACCCTTAAAGGGCTTATAGATATAGGTACTTTCTTTGGGTGTGATGGATTAAATTGCCAATGGGTAATAGAGTAAGCAACTTTAATTTGTTAATTTATACTGTTTTTGAGTCAAATTATCTCTTAGTTTAGTTGATTTAAATTTTTTCGAACAAAACAGTGTAAGTAATTTAAATAGAAATTAGTTACGTGTAAATTAAATGAACTGTTTTTATAGTAAAGCGTAGAGTTTTTGAGTTCCTTAAAATAATTAATAGGCAAGGATGTATAAAAAATTAAGGCATGATTTTGAAGCGTGTCGAAAAGTAAACTTATTCAGTTCTAAACATCTCTATAGTTACTCCGTGTAGTAGTTTTGTATTATAAGTATAAATATGTAACAAATGTAACACTTAATTACTATACCGGAAGTATATAATTATCTGTAATAATAAATAAGGAAGTCAAGGAGATGCAACCTGATAAAACATTGGCATATGCTTTGTGTCTATATATTCTCAGTTACTTTTGTAAATCAACTTCGTAATTATTTGGTTTGTAATTTAATAAGCAAATTGGGATGTCGTTTTTGTACACGTAGGAAAAAGAAAAACATTACTTTTTAGTGGGAATTTTTTCATCGGATAAATTATTTTATAAAACTTCTGTAGGTACATGTATGATATTTACTACAGGAAGGAGAATGTTAAAAGTACCTGCCTTAACATACCCCTCTATTTTATTAAATAATAATACTACTAGTCGTCGAGTAATTGCTATTTCCTATTTAGAAAAGCGAACAGATTGAGAAAGCGGAAGATATCGAACCTTATTGAACTAACTCAACTTGTTATCTGTAACCACGATTGTTATGGTTTTATTTGATTCGGGTTCCGTATAATAAACTTGTGCTATTATATGGTTGTTTTAACACGGCTTTTATTGCGATCATTCTATAAAAAAATCAATTAAAATCCGACTTGTTATTGGTCCAAAAATTATCCTTAATTAGGAAGTACACAAACAAATTCATCTCTGTGAGATATCGGTATATGTATTGTATTTGATTAATACATTTTTCGCGTCGGCACCCTTGGTCATTTAACTACGCCGCTGTTGTAGAGGGTGGTCCCTAACTATTTTCGAACAATAATCTAATCTAATTAAAAGTATTGTTGTGTTAAGGAGAAAAAAGGAGCTGATAAGCTAATATATAAAATTCAGAATGGAAGGAGCCGCAGAAATATAAAACAAAGGATAGCGCAGAGAGTCGACTCGCTTTTAACAAAAGAAAGTCACTTCTATGTTCGTGAATAGTTAATTTAAAAATTGTAAAAAGATTTTTAAAGGATCATGTATGGGGTTGGTTACCTGCTAATGTTGAAGATTCCGTGGATAGAGAAGATTGACAATAAGGGTTTCTTTTTTAAGGTTCTATCTCTCTCATTTTCCTTGTTGAGTTCCATATCGCCCTCTGTTCTTCTACTGTTTCTAATTCCTCTTCATTTCTAACCTTCCCTATCCACGGCATTCTCTCCACAATATCGCACTTAACAGCCGTGTACCAAACACATTTTTATTATTCTTGTTGGAATTTTTATTTGCATGTCAGAATATTAAAAAAGGAATTATCTTATTTATATCGCAAGCGAGTTCAATGTGATATTAAATAAATTTTAAGTAAAACAACACATGTATACGCGTAATTACTTGTTTATGATCTCTTGTTTGGTGAAAATCGTGACAAAGAACGAAGTTCACTGATGGTATACATATAAGTAATTTCTTATCATGAAAAATTTTACAAAACTATAAAACTGCGCTCATAGTCAAAAATATTACACTGCAAAGAAATGCCACATTAGGTATAAAATAATGGAAGATTTTACTTACTATTCTCGTAACATAATTGAGAAATTGTATGTGAACTAATTAATTATTATGATATATGAGTGGAACGTATGTTATGTAGCGTATACAGTAAAAGTTTCTTATTCACGGTTTCCTTATTCGCGTTTTCATTATTCGCGGGTGAAAAAATTGCAACCCAGTTCCTGTATTCGCGGATGCAATCGGTAAACAGAAAAGGATTCGGTGTCATTTATTAAGGGGATTGACCGCAATAGACCGCTCGTGCCTATAGTGCGAATTTTTCCGAAAACATGGGTTTCTATTCTAAACATTGTGATTTAACGCTGCAAGATAAATATGTAATTTTTCGTATGGTAACGAACAAAGGTTCACACTAACCCGGTACGTTTTTGGTTTTCAGTAATATGGTCATTAAAAGCTTTTACAAGTCCTTAAAGTTGATGCTTCTTGTAGGACACGTATTTTCAATAGAAATTAAAAACATAAAAAATGGCATTCGACAGGCTTTAGAACAAAGCTTTATCTATCTTACTACAAAATTTCAAACCTCTGTTCCAAACATTAAGCTCATGATTTCTAGAACCGACAAGCATGTTTTTACTCTACGGCGCATGTACTACTGAATTCCTTTAAAATATCGGCATCTATCGAGTATGTACTGTTGGTACGTGCCGAGACGACTTTTATAAAAGATGTAACCGAGTGGACTAATTCAAAACAAGAAAAAATCACT